GTGCTCGCTAAAGCCCAGTTTAAGCTGTTTTTATCTATCTACTTACATGTAGAGGAAGAGAATAAAAGCCCATATTGGGGCTGTATTGTAATTATGGGGAGGGGGGGGGATGTATCTATTTCTAGATATATTAATGAATGACTGTATTTTGTTGGGGATCTATATGTATATCATGACTACTATGTGGCATAGCTGTTCATAACGACCGATTTTGCTTTGCCCGAGGTGGTTGTTATAAAGAGAGTTGACTGTATTTAGCTCTTAACAGTTGTGTCTTAGTCGTCGTATGTGCAAGCTGTAGGAATGACCTCGGTTTTGAGAAATATTCTTTCTTTCTTTTTTAGACAAGATCTGTATAGATATCATCGATCAAAGTGATGATTTGTTGTTGACATTTCAGGAAACTTGCATTCAATTTTTATAAAAAATTAATTGCTAGCCAATCACGTTCCAAGATTACGGGGGGAAAATGGTAAGAGTTCTTGTGACAAGCTAATTCAAACCATTGTTATTCTCATTGAGAATGATTGCCTGGCAAGTCAATCGATGTGTTGTACAGTCAAACCTCGGAAAATTGATGTGGCTGTCCTCACTATTTTCTATCGGTTTTGCGATGTATCGGTTTTCCGAGGGTTTTGCTTCTTATTGGCTAATGCGAAATCTTCGACCTCAGTATGCGTAGAATTGATAACGTGAAATATTGGTGGTTGTTGACTTACGTTTTCGCTTGCGAGATTGCATTTTTGAAAATTTTATTATAGATATAGATGTACGCACTAGTATATAAAGGGTAGTAAATTTCATTGGTTGACCAATGAAATTGCAAGAATCAGGTCACGTAATTTGTACTACATTATATCACGGGAATTGAAAAAAGTATCGGTTTTGCGAGTTATCGGTTTTAAGTGGTATCGGTTTTCCGAGGTTTGACTGTATATAATAATAATTTGCGTCACCATATAAATACCGGATTTATATACATAGGCAGACTCGATAAGTCATGGCTGGCCTGGTAGACCGACTTATCGAATCCACGTGACTAATTTAATAATATTTTTCGTTCAAAGGTGTTGTTAAATACAAACGCGAAGTACAATAAGGATGTTATATTATAGTATACAATCAGATGTGAGTTTATATTGTGCACAATTTATATTGACGTTACAGTATAATAATAATTAATGTTCTTCGAATATCACGCGCCACAAATTATGTATAAATTGCGTTCAGGGGTGATCTGACGTAAATTATATATATTGCACCATTGTTATTATTATGCAAATTATATATAAATCCGGCATTTACAAGTATATGGCGACGCGGATTATATTAATGCATCCTTAACCAAGCGATCATTGTTACCCCTCGCCATCATATGTCAGGGGAGATACCAAAACTCGAACATAAAGAAGCGCCCCTTGATATAGTATTTGATCGATTGGAGGTATATATATTTTCTATGTAATCACATCTTGACTTAAAAAAGTTACAAAAAAATTCACCGAAACACGGAGACGCAAAGGTCCGGTTTTTTGTTGCTGTCAAAGATAGTACTTTTAGAGTTATATTGTACTCAAGCACTTTACTCACCACAGCTCAAGGCACTCAAACCACAGACCTTACTGAAGAATACACAGTTCAAAGTTCTAGCAACATGGCTCAAAGCACCTCGAGCAAGTCTATGATAACTACTCGTGAACCTGACCAAGAACCATCAGCCGATCAGCCCGAGACTAACGCCATGGCTCAAAACACTCAGGACACCATGGCTAAAGACACTACAGCTCAAAACATTACAAGCACACTTGACGCCCTTCATCTTGACCCTCCAATCACTCCACCCGAAACTGTGGAATCCCTTCGTGCATATGAAAAAGAGCCAGGCGAAGCACAGAAGTTTTTAGGTACGACCAATTTGCTTTACACACGCTTATATATTTTGTTTCCTTAACCGATGTCTTTGCAGATCGCATGGTACATGGCTTCACGTGGCCCGCTTCGATGTCTGATTGCATGAGACGTCAGGTTTTCTGCGGGTTCACTGATGATTTTAACTCTCCTGAAGGTAGCGTGGAGCGAGAAGTCGCGGCAAATTTTCTTTACTTCTACAACAGTCTCGAGGCGGGCAAGTTTGATGAACATCAGAAAGACTGGGTACTGGTGGACGGACAGAAGGTAGTAAAGTATGGGTCAGATGAGTATACGAATCAGCAATTATCAGACCTCGAAGAGGAAATGCCTGCTGCCATTTATCTCCCAGTTGATCCATTAGTTCGTGAAAATTATCTTCTTTATCCAGCCCCCGTGTGAAATCTCGACGTTCCAATTATGGAGACACCTTAACCTGGTCTGGATCGATTATTGCTAAAATATAAATAACAATAAAATTAACTGACTTATGATATGATAAATGTTATTATTAAAGTTCGAGTTAAAAGTACTTGACTACACTTTTCATAAAGCTCTTGACATTAATAAGTTATACAAGACGGTTCTCGACACAGGCGCACCAGAAACAATATTACCTTATACCGCCTTGGAAAAAAGGGTTGGCACAAGAATTGTACCCCTGCTCCGGGTCATGGAGCACCTGGTAGATTGTTTTTGCTTGTGATCCATTTAGTGTCCATTGGGGACGACAATGGCAATTGGGACTCTTCGAGTTTGGGCAAAGCCTGGTAATTTCTTAGATGTTAAAACCAGCTATAGTCGTACAAACATCGAACCCTGATTAGGGATATGACGTATTAGATGATAAGTTCATTTGCGTTACCGAACTCTCGGCACGAGTCTCGTTTTTATCTTGGTACATTATCTAGTATTACGCTAAGTCCAATTTATTACTTATATTTTATATACTGCGCTAGTCAGAAATTAGTTATAAAAACGACCTTTCCTCACAGCTGAAATATTCAGCCGTCAGAGCCGTAAGGTTCAAAACGTTTTGGTTCAATTAAATGAGTTTCTAACTCTTGTTCTCAAATAAAATTACGATCAAACAAATCCAACCGTTTCTAATTGTAAATAAACATGATTTACTCCGCATATACGGATTTAATGCATAACGAAACATCGTCATAAAATTTGGTTAGCTTATTGCAAGCAAAACTGATTTGTTCGAACGAAAGGACAATAAATGCAATTTTAAAGCTCTCATAACGATAGTAAACGAATAATAAAATTGTTTTAGAGTTTATTGTAAAAACGGATATTACTCGTTAAACAGATCATGTTTATACAACGGAGCGACGTATTCGCTAAGAAGACTCAACTTTATCTGATACGAGACCTTCGCTAGGAAGACTTACGTAAATTACAACGAAGCGGTACGTTTGCTGAAGACACTTTCTATTTGGTACAACGGGGCAAAACTATTCGCCGAGAAGACTGACGTTCGAGCTATATACAGTGGTGTGCAAAAAAAATTGCAAAACTTTAACTTAACAATGGCCATACCAATAAGCATGTTATATACCTTGAATGAAAGCTTAAATTGAGCAGATTTTATTGATGTAAATTAATATGAAATTCGTTCACCGCCTTTCTCACAACTTCCTCACAACGTCTTTTCATTGAGTCTATTAAATTAATTATCACACTTTGTGGAATAGCATTCCATTCCTCCACCATAAATTTCTCCAGTTCTTCAAGATTTTTTGGCATACGTTTTTCCACTTCCCTCTTGACAATTCCCCAAAGATTTTCAATTGGATTCAAATCAGGACTATTAGAGGGCCAGTCCAATACAGATGGAACATTTTCCTGTAGAAATTCCGGCTAGTATATTTCGGCCATCTTTTCCCCCAGAAGTTTGTTTATTTCTGGAATGTGTTTATCCAATATTTCTACATAAAATTTTCCATCCATTATCTGTCTAAAAAAAAAGAGAAGTCCTCCCTTTCCTGCAGAATTCACCCCATGCAAAAATCTTGCATCTGTCTTTAGGTATTGGACGAGTTGGCCTTGCACCTTTATGCCAACGTTTAATAGTATTCTGAAAAAGCTGAAAAGCAGTTTCATCTGTAAAAACTATTTTGTTCCAATTGTCATTGATATAACATTTAGCCCAAGCAACACGGTTTTCTTTATGGGATGATGTGAGCATTGGGGTGCAAAGTGGGAGACTGTTTTTATAGCCATTAGTGGTCAAGTGTTGAACGGCTGACATTTATACCTGTCTTTGTTAATTTTTTGGCTATTAACCCAGCGAAAATTAATGGATATCTTCGAATATACTGCCCAACAGTACGAGAAGCGGCAGCCGTAAGTTTCTTATGCCTCCCATTCCACCTCTATGTTTCACATCTCCATATTTATTAATTTTTTAAAGGTTGTAATAGATTGTCCGTAATGGAATATTGGTCCATGAGTGTATTTCTTTGGCTTTACGCGTTCCCTGCTTCCAAAAATGTAATCAGTCTGATGTTGGTTTTCTTTATCATATGTAGACATTTTCAAGCCAAATTGTTCAGAGATTTACAAAGTAAACTCAATGCAAATCGCGTACATTTATTGTTTAGTAAACAAGCTTTTATTTCGAATTGGATCAAAATGGGTAAGTTATACGCGTTTGAATATCACGGAATTTTTTGCAATTTTTTTTGCACACTGTACATCAAAATTAGATAACTACACAAATCTGGACGAGTGAACAGTAATCTGACGCGATTTTGAATCGACTTGCATCATATAAAACGATAACATGTTTTCTAGCCACTTGTAACTGCCTCTGGCAATACTACTTCACGGCAAGATTATTCATATAAGATATTATGTAACTGATGATTATTACAAATAGCATGCTAAATTAGTTAATTTACCAAGTCCTCTGACAGATAAAATTCGTTCTGGCTTATATAAAGGGTATATGGAAGAGACTGGCCTCAACTCCTCGATTTCTGGGAATCCAGAGAATTTGAGTTATGTAATTTTTTGCGATAATTAATTTGCGTGAGCGGCTTATGCTTTCTGGAAAAGAATAACTGATATTGATGGAGGCATACAATCGAATTTACCACTAGAACCAGTAATACAGTATTTGTCGCAAAACCTGAGTAACAAAAGGGATGCCTGAAGCTATAAAGCAGTGCGCGACAGAGGACTAGCTTATTTCTGGATAAAATTTTTACTCCATTATTTCTCGGAGGAGATAGAAACGATAAATTATTACACATCAATAAACGCAGAAAGGAGAAACTTGAACACAGAATCACCCAGGCAGAGAACAAAGTTTTTTTCCATATTGTCGGGTGCCTCTTTATTGATAATAGGTAGCGTGATTACGACCTTGAAAAAAAAACAAGACTATGAATTACCACGATTATGAAAGAAAACCGACGACGATGAGCGATAAAGAGAACGGGAAATGGGTGGAGCAGGAAACGTATGAGGGGGAAGGAAACATAGTGATTTGTATTTAGGGTCAGCAGGATAAGCAGACATCTCCGACCTGTGACACATCCGCACGACGAATATTTGGTGCATAAACGCTGTCAGTTACACGTACGCGACAGGAAAGTTGTGCGAAAACGATAGATGATTATATATCCCTTAGTATTACTTGTAATCTTTGCAATTAGAATAGTCCTTTATATTTTAATAAAATTTGTATTTAAATCGTTCATTCCCTGTAAAGTTATCTCTATCGCTGGTAACGCTTTCCCGTATAGGCGGTAAACGGAGTCGAACTTGCCACCGATTTTATAAGAACTTTGACACTAAGATTATTATTTAACTTCCCCGACTTATAGGCTTTCGAAAATAATCCCGTCGAAAGAAATAGACGTAATATATAATAATCTGGGATAGCGTATACAAGACCGATCAAGCATTCGAAACCAACGTTAAGGTCACTAAATGTTTGGCACGAGTATATATAGTCAAAAGCCTCGTTTGAAAGCTAAATCTCAAGCCAGTATACGATCGCTCTCCCGCTCGACATGACTAATAACTAAAGTAAATTATCGTGATTCAAATGATACATTTGCAGTATTCGTGGATACAAGCTTTTGCCATAAAAACAACATCAGCCAAAAAGCTTTTCACGAAATATCTGTCTAACGGACTTTACCATTTAAAATGTTTGCTGGAATGGACCATCCTTTTGCTATAAAGTTCACAAAAATCAAGTACAAGTTATAAAATGTGTGGAAAAACTTTAATTTAAAGAAGAAGTTAATATTAATTAATTAAAATACAATTAGAAGAAAGTCCCAAATGATTACGTATTCCTCGTGATTTCCGCCTGGTGGTACAGACATCTCCACCTCAGCTCGCGAGTGAGGATGTGAACGTGGTAGATGTCAGGTGAGCATTATCGAATACAGTCAAACCTCCATAAAAGAACCCTCTATAAATGAGCATCCTCTCATGAAAATTTTATCATGGAACGAATCTGAGTTATTAGTAAATGAATAAGCTCTACAAGAGAACGCCTCTAACTGTGTTCTTTTATAGAGGTTCAACTGTATACAATTTTTCAAATGCGATCAGAATTCAAGTTGCACGATAATCAATTTTTGTGCACGGTCGCGCAGTTAGTGCTATATGTGTCAATTGCGCTACAAGAGGTGTCAAATGTACTACACAAAGCGCCGCCAGTAGCAATAGCTGCTGCTGTGGTAGTGATTATGGGTCCATCCCGGAATTTTCTGACAATCTTCAAAGATGTCAAATGTACAACTTAGAGGGGTCAAAGTAGTTAGATATATAAGCTGTCATAATTTCCCTTAGTAAAAAGAATCTTCAGCATCTTCAGCATGTCTTGAGCGCATCTTCGGCATCTTCGGTTCTATTTGTCCTTATAATCCTTGTAATTAGAATAGCTCTTTGAATTTTAATAAATCTGTGTCGTTAATTCCCTGGTGAATTTTATCGATCGGCGTGCCATCGAACTTATCCATCAGGATTTCTATTTAATTGTGTTTAACGCGTTACTATTTTATAAACTTTCCCGTCGACAGATTTTCGTTAATAATCTCTAACGAATCACAGTCGTTGTTTGACTCGAGGTTAAGGTCACTAATTGGATAGAGATTTAGCGATAGTAGGAACGGCTAAATTCCAAGGTCGTTACACGAATATCTAACGTGTGGCGATCCGACACTATACCCTGAAAATATGCTTTAGTTTATGTCCAAAAACCTCATATATTATAGTACTTTTATGGTAAAGGTAGACTTTAGTCTCGCTTGTGCTATCATAGTTACAATTAATATCAATATATATTTTGTTTTATATTTTTGATACTGGATTCACCTGACTGTAGGCAAAAGAGTTTTTCATACCATACCTTTTGGTACTATTAACACTTAATATTAATATTGTATTGAACGCTGATTTCCAAAAGATAACGGTTTTCCTTTGGCGAAAGGCAATGTTAGCAACAGACTGTCTTTCATAATGCACGTTCATTGTTTGGTATTAAATTTACTTTTGTCCTATATTCATTACCAAAACTAACCTATATTCCGTTTGACTTGGCCATCAAGTTGGAATCGAAATTTCATCACTCAGTCAGTTTGCAATTAATTCTAGAGTTAAAGTGTCAACGGAACTACAATCAATGATTCATGAACTCGACTGATGAACCATATTCCAGATAGACAGTTTACCTTCACATACTTCTTATCGCAACTTTTACTGATCAAAAGACTCACTTTACGAGCACAAATTATTAATACACGTGAAATTCACATTTTCATGAAACAAAAAAAAAACAAAAGACATTGGTGCATACCAACAAGACTACTCCTTATAATCTGCGCACTTGTGAGTAGTCTCGTCTATGCCTCGGATAAATAGCCATGCCCTATTACCGGATAATAATCTTTTTCATCTTACCTCGGGTTCGTTTTCGCTAGAATCAGTCTCGCCTGGGAACTGCTGCAAATGCAACTGCCTTTGTTTACGCAATGCGGAAATCTGCTCTTCAACGCTTGACAATTCGTGTTGTAAATGGCGCAATTCACCTCGTTTAGCTTCAAGAACTGCAACATAGCAAACATTTAAATCTATGTCATTAAAAAACTATCCGCTTTACGTAGAAAACAAGAGATTAATTTACCCAAGAAAGGCTGAAATAAATATACAGTTTGTATCAATATTGGAAGTATCAGTAAATACATAACGCCAACAGTAAATCTTTCATCAAAGAAATTCTACTAACATCTTCTGGTTTTGGTAACTCAAATTCACTCCATTTTTCTTCAGGAAGTTCATATCTATTTTCAAGAAATAATTATCAAAAGTTAATTACGGACGCGTTTCGCCAAACAATTTCACTAGCATTGCCTTACAATTCTTTATTCTTTTGTATTCGACGCTTTATTTCTTCTCGAGAAGGTTTTCCTACATTCAAACGCTTGTTTAGTCATCACGTCAAATAGCAATCGTTCGTGTATTTGTGACAAGTTATTACGTGCATACCCCCAGTATTCACGATGCAATTATTTTTTCGCTTGACAGTGGGTCCTTGAATTTTAGAATTCTTCTCTCCAATGACCAACGGATCAATATGAAGTCCATTAAATTCTGTGCAGAAGCAAGCATCCTTTGTTATAATTGCGTGGCACACCAGAATCAGATCAAAATGGAGTGTATATATAGACATACCAGCAGTGCTCTGTTGTCCCAACATTCGTTGAAGTTGCAAATTCATTTGCGCGTTTGTTTTACCGGGCAGACACTGTGACTCGATAATTTTGGCCCAGTTGCCAATACCAAATTTAATCAATGCTTTACGTAAAATTTCGCTTTCTTCCCGCGACCACCCTTTAAACAATTTCATGAGCATTATGTACTCGAAAACCGCTGACGCCAAGTAATTCAGCACGCTGATTCACCTGGAGAGAGTGAGCAGTTCCATAAACTAGCAGAATCGTTTGGACGCAATACATTGCGTGGTCCACTGGACATGCTCTGGGGTTTGATACTGTCTTCCGACATTATTGGTAACGTGTAGTTATAAAAATCTTCGAGGCTGGTCGCTTACCAAGGGGCTAAAAATTACATCTACGAGTTTGTGATCTGTTTATTTTGACACGCGTCTTACATTTTCCCCCCAAAAATATTTTCTGTCGTGATTTCCATTTTATATTCCCTGCTGCTGTCATGAATTCACAGACATTTCCTCTTCTAATACCCGAAGACACGGAAGGATCCTCTTATCTTGGGTTTATCACTATAAAGGTTTCAAATAGATCCATCTAATCTATTTCCAAGAGTTTGTTATATTAATATGGATTCATAGGGTCAGGAGATTCCTTTCGGTATACATATCGACCAACGTAATGCGAGAAATCTAAAGAACGCGCATTTACGAGGAAGCCCCGAGCTTTGCAGGCTAGTGGCTGGGCAGGAACACGTAATTCGACAGGCACGCACCCGTATACATTTAGTGTTGACGCCATGTCATACATATCTCACAACTTGAAAGAAACATTCTTGACAGCGACTAGAACAGTGCTCCACTCTGGAAGAATTCTTGATTGATCTCAAAGATCTACTTGTTGAGTATGATTTGTTATTAATCTATCGATATAGTTTTTCCGAAAACAACCCCATCCCCATTGCAATCAAACTGATCCATTCGCATGTCTCTCGTTAGGAACAACTAGTGACAAAGGAAGAAAACGAACTAATGCGCTCTGGTACTTATTATTCTACCTTGTTGGAAGAACTAGACGCGATTGGATGGGATAAACTGCAATCGATTGACCATGCGCTTAAGAATATATCGCTTCGGATAAAGTACATTGGACAGCATGCTCTACTTTTTGCTTGCCGGGAAGCTATAACATATAATCACACCGTATTTAACGTATTGATTTCACATAGTGATTCATCAGGCAGACAGCATACAATAAAGGTTATTCTGCCTTCTTCCTACCCATCCGATCCACCTATCGTACATGTTGACTTGCCGACGTCGATATCAATTTCGTTGCATAGCAAATCTGGTCTACGGAAGATAATATCATTATTTCAGGAGGTACATCATACGCTTGCGAATGTGGAATAATTGTGACTGCAGTTTGTAATGATTCAAAGGTTTGTGTACTTTTTTCAACTAGGAAGTCAAACAGTTTCAAGATCTTTGGCTGTTGTTGGAAGACTTTGATAATCATACATGGGTATTGGAACCAGATAAGCCCAAGCGGAGTGATTTAATGCGAAGAATAGCACTTGGCAATCATTGTTCGTTACAGATTGATGTTGATGTTAAGAACCCAAGAGGAATCTGTGAGTGTAGACTATTTGGAAGCGAGAAGACAGTTGGTCCACTGCAAGATCGCTTGAATAAGAATCTTATGAGATGGTATGGTATGCATGCATTTTTTGTTCTCTGGTAATGAATACCTTATGTATTCAACACTTAACTATTCATTTTTTGTTTTGAAAGGGATCAGTCATTAACGATTCGTCAAAATCTAGAGGCCATATTAGAGATGAACTTCCCTTCGCCATTGACGACTTCAAAATCAGAATTCAACGTTGAATGTGGGATTTGCTATTCTTATCGATTGAACGATGAAATTCCGTCGCAAACATGCAATAATGAGAAGTGTGGTCAGCCGTTTCATCGAGCTTGTTTGTATGAGGTAATTAATGTGATACCCTGGGTCCGCTTTGAAACGTTCTGGTGATAAAGATTGTTTGTCATTTATTCCTAAACACATGTTAATCTTCTGTCTCTTCTAATAAGTGGCTGCGTGCAATTCCCACTACTAGACAGAGTTTCAACATGTTATTTGGTAATTGTCCATATTGTGATGATGTAAGTTGGGAGATTTATTGTTATTATTATAATATGGCTTTAATGCTGAAAATGAATTACTAAAACAATATCCTATGTGTAGAACATTACGACGATGGTTGTAGAAAAATGAACAAATAAACGTTTAGAAGAAACCGTTGTAAATGATGTTATCCTTATTCGAGCTGTGTATAACGAATCTCAGTACGTGCCATGACGACCGGTACTATGTAATTGTCACAACCAAAATGATAATACCATGGTGTCATGGTGAGCACACGCAGAAATAAGTACAATTCCAATGTCTAATTGACTAGGAATTTCTGGCGCGTCCCTCAACTTGTAAATTTATTATCGAACTGCTCATGCGTCGAGAATTGGCGGTCCCGTGTTGTAAATTTTATGCTGGACGGACCTTCGTAATGTTAAACGTAGGCAAAGTTGATTTTTTATCTCGAGACTCGGCTAGTGATTTGAGGGTACAAATTGCTGTTTGGAAAGACACTTTGCTATGGTGTAGCAAGCTGTATATAAATAAGCGATGCAAGCAATGAAAAATTCATCAACGTCAAGGCGACGCGAAGTTGTGGATAATAATAACAATATCCAATTTATTCAAATAACACTATAAAATAACTATAAAAATCGTTCATACTTGTACATAGTCAATTTCTCCTAAGCATAACTTATTGTTAACAAGGAAGAAAATGAAAGTTTCACTTGAAATACAGCTCAACCGATCCGGTATATGCTTCCAAAGTGGCACTGGACACACTATCATCGTCACCGTCGTCATCAGTCTCTAAGCCTTTGGTACCGCTCTTGTATGTTCTTCTGTTTGTTTCAAACGTGACATCTTTACCTTCAACGCTAGCGAATCCGACAAATGTCTTGGCGACAAATCTGCCCTTGAATTCATCGGCCTAGAAAGTGTCATTTGATTAGCATATGTTATATTCCGAATTATTTGAAAACTTATATTAACTTACAATAGTGATAATAATACCCCCGTTGACAGAGTGAGCATTGAATTTAAGGACTTGGGTTTCACTCAGGTCACGCTAATATGATATATAGCATTTAGTATTAATCGACTGTGAGCCAGGCATGATATCAGATAACGATAGTTAGTTTAACGTACCACATGAGCATCAATGTGTCCATTTACAGAGCGGATATCGATAGAAACATTGTCCGCCCATGGATGAACATGGGGTTCAACATCAATGATACCATTAACGTTCTTGATCTGAAAAGCAATATTATCAATAGATTATTGATATTGAAAGGTGATTTAATTCGCGAACGGGGTTCGACGTCTATCTTCTTACCTCTAATTTTTCAGCCACGTCATAATTACCGCGAATATTGCCATTTATACTTGCAATTTCGCCCTCGGTGAATGAAAGTTTCTGATAGAAAAGTGGGGTTAACACTCTATCAAGTTAACCTGTAAATATTCTCTACATTTGCTATGTATCTGATCACTTACATCAGCGAATATATGACCGTTAGCCGTTTTAAAGTTGACAAACGCAAAGTCGATATTGTTCAATCGTTCAGTAGCGATCCAAGAATTAGGTACATCAACCGCTAGTGATCTGAAGTACTTGACTTTCGATGGGAAAGTAATGACGGTATCAACGCGAACGCATCTGTGCGCTACGTCAAAGGATGGAGTCTTGATTGCGAAAATAAAGTTATTCGGGTAATATTCAACGTAACAGATAAAGCCCTATAGTACTTACTATGATATTAATAGTAGCATCCTTGTCGATTATGGATGACTCTATTCTAACATCATCTTGAAGAGAATCATCCGAGACATAAATCGTATTCGTTACATTGATATAATGATGAGCCCAAGGATCTTCACGAATAATAACACTCCCTTGCTATATGAGCAAACGAAGACGCTTCAATACAGTGTTCTCGGGTGATTTTTATATATTGTATTCCAAAAGTGACAGCCACATTCCTCTTGTTGTTTACAATCGCAAAGTTATACTTACGGATGAAAATCCTTTGACGCCGAAAATCAGACCCTCGATATCAGATGGTTCAAACAGGTACTCGTTCTTCCCTTCTAATTTGATAGAAGGTACGCACGAACCGGGGGTGCCAAAAACCTTTGAATGACAGTGACGACGTTTACCTGGTGATGTGTATGCGAGCAGTTAGATCGAACCTCATGTTGGTAAGAAAAGAAAACTCTGATCTACTCACCCTTGAATATTAGATCGAGGAAAAGTTAAACGGTATAGAGCAAGACGTTTAGATAAGTCTTTACATCTTGATGATCGTTGAAAAATCATTAAACAAACTCACCCTAAACAAGAAGTGGTTTACTCCGACATAAACAAGATGTCCAATTAGGACAGTACAAAGAATAAAAGCTAAAGCCCTCCTCCAGGCCTTCCGAAGACAACAACGGTTTCCGCAGCGCTTGGTTTCATGAGCAGGATTAAAACCAGAATCTGGTATAGCTAGTGAATGTATAACAATGTAAAAAGTTCAGCTGGGTGTTGTTGTTTCTAGGCTAGTAACGTTAGTATACAAGCTCATATTACCTTCTTCCTTAGGGTCGTCCGAGGGCACAGATATGTACTTGGCTTCCTTCTCAGGCATGGCTTGCATTCTTGTAGTATAATAGGACGTTATTGTTAGTTATTCTTTACAACGTTGGTATGCTGTTTCGCAGCCGCAGATCACAAAATCGTTAAAGACCTGATTGACTTACTTCGTTAAAAGTCGTAATATAATAATACACAACCAGCGAAAGGAGATTGATCTTATACTTGACAGGCGCAAGTGGCTAATGCTTGATCGATTGGCGTGTCGTGCAAACTTTGTTTGTGGGAACCGTCTGATATTTCAGTGTTAGTGCATCATTATCATTACTAAATTAGAAATTTCGACACTTCTATAAATATGTAACGATGTTCAGAAAAACAGTACAAGTGTGATGCTCACACGGGAGGTGATTTCAGAGCGTTATTATTAGCCGCAAGTAAACTTGTTTCAGTATCGAACATTTACAAATAGAAATTACAACTTTACGCCATCTATTGTCAATATTGTTTTATTAAGATGCGCTTGCCAATACCATCCACAACTATTTGCTGGCACAGGAACACCTTTAACGTCCAGCAAACAATTAGGAGTGCATACGATCTTTCGCACAGAAAACGCAATATGACAAACTGATATTCTAATAATAATAAGCTGCAACAAAATTAGTCACAATAATAGATTTTCAAGGCGTATATGATAACCAATCGTTCTACAGTATATTGTATTCTTATTTTGCGCATGCACCTTGAAACAATCCAATATCAAGTTATAGTTAATTAAATGAAAAGATACACACAATTAGAAAATGTTTACAAGTTGAAGTCTGCAGGCAGTTTGACAACGCAACACCAAACTTTTGTTTCTTTTTTTTTTTTTTTTTTCCAGAAAAGAATCACTGAAAACATACCAGCAGTGTCTGATCAACCCTTAATAATTCTATACTTCCTGAAGCATGTGTGATCAATGACCTCGAGTGCAACATGCATTGATTCTCAGACTCGGCGAGGTTGCAGTAAATGAAACTTCAAACGATAGGAACGGAAGGGTCTTAAACCGATTCATTAGTGGATGACTTGCAAGTGGTATTTGCTAATCAGGTGAGTAATTGAAAACTACTTTTATGTCGCCAAACTCTCCCCTAACCTACCTTCTCAAAAACTATTACTTGAGCAGAATATAGGCTCGCGTTTTGTGTTGTTATATCCAGAACTTGCGAGAAGAACTGTAGACGCCTTCATGTTTTGTTGTTCACGAATATATGTCATTGATGAGAAGACACTTCTTGACAAAGAACGTCGTTGAAGGAGATTAAGTTATATCTGGTATGCGCGTCATCGCTACTTACATTAAGCTGGAATTTCAGGAAAGCTACTGGAATGAACTTGGAGTTTTGCGTTCTTTATTTGTTTACACCTACGATTGAACGCTAAAGGTGTACCTGGAATGAACTTGGTGGTGGCTCACCAAAACGGTTATGACCTGTCTCAGATCCCAGATGATAGAGTGAGTGCGCTGACAGAGTTGGTAAAAATTCTAAGTGCCTGATAGATTACCACATATTATCATTTTGACAGATTATTGTAGCAAAACTTAGCTCCCATCTACATCTTTCTTTCTTTTACTAAACATGCGCGCTAAATCTAATCCCAAATATTTCTCATGTACTTAAGCTTATGTGTTGTAACCCTTACCGGTGCTCTCCTGGAACTCTAACGGTTCTAGATATTTACAGAAAAAGTCAGGTACAAGTGAGTCTCGATATAACGACACTGCTATATAACGACATCTTGTTATAACGACAGAAATCTTAGAACAAAAGTTTTATATTGCTTAGTTGTCGTATGTAAGTTAATTCTTGATAAAGGACATTCTCACCATACCGAGCGTGTCGTATTCAATGATCTGCAGTATTAATGAATCGTATTACGTAAGATGAGGATAATTTAGGAAATTGTTTTGTTGCAACAAGTATTTCGTACAAACACACTAAATTTTACTGTATTCGCAATCTATTAGCTATACCTTATAAAGTGATTAGTCGAAGTTCCAGCATCTTTATCAAAAGTCAAAAACGACACATTGTTTGTTACTGTGTAAAATTGTTTGACGGGTAGTGCCGGAATTGGTTTGTATTACAAACCTTCTTGATCGTAGTAATTGCCTATTGGTTTTTGGAAGCCTTTTTAATCATCTTGGAGACATATGATGTTGTTGCGAATTTGGCCAAGACGAAAACCAATTACTTTGACTAGGGAGAACAAGACTAACGTATGGCGTCAGCACATTTGCGATATATTATAATACACAAGGTAACTATAAACACGATTGTTACGTGACCATTTGCTAATCGTTACCTTTTAGATGTTAATTGAATTTGTGATAGACAAATTGTTTGTTATTTTTCTGTGTGATAGATCGTTATTCTAATAAATGATTGTTTCTATATCAAGCACGTTAATAATCGGTCGAGAAAGCGAATACATAACAATTTCAACAGCCTCCTTTTCCATGCTTTCAGTCTTCATTATAATGATGCGCAACTTCAGCCGTAAAAAATCATCTCAACGATTTTCTAATCAAATTCTGGGAGGGTTTATTCCGTTCACCCGCACCACTAAAACGCCTTCACGTGATTCGCGAAAAGGAATTCATGCTCAACTTGTTCAGCAACAGATATTCTATACTCTTTATGAATTGGGTCTTTCACCGAGCAAGGCTCACCGTAAGGTAGTTAGGATGCAATTGGAAAATACCATCCTCACGGAGACCAAAGTGTTTACCAAGTGATGTTCAAAATTTCAGGTTTATCGTTAGTTGATAGTAAACGATGATTTTGACAATTGGTAAACCGATTTTTCTAACTACGCATTCTCGTTCGGTTTTCAACCCAACAGTTTATTTATGTTCATCAAACAATCTGACCCGAATATTTTCTTTCTGTTTCGGTCTCAAAAGCAATAAATATCAACAAGCTATTAGAGCAAATAGTCGCCTCAATCAACTGTTGTTGAATCAGATATAGGGGGAAAAAATTACAGTAAATTCTTTATTATTTCACAACAATGGCAAAAGTTCTACGAGTCTACAAATTTGAACTGTCCCAACAACCCTTATGTTGTAAGTGAAACGCCAAGCTTTTGTAACACAGTTATCGTAGAGTGAGTGGTTCTAAATTGTAATTAGGAATTACGGGTACGTTCAAGAATAGTTAAAACTTATGTCTGTTCTTTCCTTTATGTCACACAGAGATTTTCCCATTTTAATTTATGCATATTCGCCACTCTAGATGATCTCTCAAGAGCGACCAAACAATTCCATTTAGAACCAATAAGGTAAATTACGTAAGAAAAACACAATATCTTTTGTTTATATTGACTCGGTATGACTGGGGAAGATCAATTTGTTTTCAAACTATTACCTATGCAAGTAACGCTCTCGCGTAAAATATCGATCAATTCAGGAGAAGAAGATATAAATATGTGGCAGGTAATACCATGTTAGGACAACAATGTAGATGGGGACAGAAGATAAACAAAGATTATTACTCATCCTCCAGTATCGCTATATCGATTTATGGTCTCAGACCAAGGAATATCTCGGATAATCATGGTATCTCGTTAGGGCGCAGATTACATTCTCAGTCAGCCCATGTTTTGCTTATTGCTGGTATTAGTTAGTATCAGCAGACATCCTGGATGCTTAGATAATTAATTGCACACAAGCAACCCCCCCCCCCCTAGAAATGCTACAGTTGATATAATGGCTGATAGTGTAATATTGAATTCCATTTGTTCAATGTCTTCCGAATATTATATTCAGTACACGACCCCCATCAGACTTTATTGGGATGTTGTTAACTTATCAGTTATATCTGGTCAACCGTATGACGGTGAATATATAAATAAACACACACTCCCCATATCACCCCACAGGCGCTACAAATAATCGCCTTTTCCCATCGTCTTCTGTATTGCCATCAAACACTCATCGACAAAAGCTCGTACATGATCTTTTATCCTCAATAATAAAACTCAACTAATTCAAAGTCGCACGTCAATATTTGCGGTTTACTTGGCTCTACACGGTTTAAGCATAAATTCCACAAATATACGATGTTATCGAGCTGCCTGAATGCTTTTGGAACAGCGCAGGTAAACACATAATATTGTTCTATTTCTTGCTCCTTTCCAACAAGTTATTCAATTTACGTTCTATTTTCAGATACTAACCGACAAGAGCATCATCGTACGGCTGAAATGGCGGCTGAGATACATGCAAAGTATCCAGTAACACACAAGGTGGTGTGGGTTTAGAGTGAGATTTGGTAGTGTTCTTAATTGGCACAGTAGTGGTGTTCTTAATTGGCACAGTAGGTGGCCTGGGTGGTGTCAAGGAGAGGTGTGAAAGGAGAGGACAAATGCAAGTGGAGGTGAAGAACATGAGAGAGGTGGTAGTCAAGATAATCTAACTTTTAGTGTAAAATTATGTATGAGTTTTGCATTGCAAATGAAACTTCCAATAAACATATATATTTGGCACTTGAGAGTGCATTTACAATAACCTTCCTGCTATGTTAATGCTTATATTTATCAGTTCCCAACTACTATTCGATCATTTTATCTTCAAAATGGAGACTAACTTGTTTAAGATTTTGCTAAATGGCTGCTCAAATCTTTGTATCGATTGATATACTGACTATCCTATCACTTATTGTTTCCTGTTTCAGCCTCACCTTCGCTACTCATCTTCCCCTCCCTTCTGTTACATCCTGATCACCCGAATAATTTTAGTATCGTATGATGTTTATCTAAACTAAATTTGGCTAATGGCCTGATTTTTTGTTGAATTACGGTACAACGCTATAGGCAGATTATTGATAAAGTTCACCATAGCAGATTTAATTCTATAATCTAATGACAATGTTTTAATGACATATTGTTGCTTTGATCATATGGTTGCAGTGCTCTGGTTGTTAATTCTAATACTAATGCATATTTAGTGATTTTGTTTACGATATTTATACGACTTTATTGCCAAAGCTACAAATTCCTGCAAAACAGGCTTGCTAAAGCTAGTTTTAACCTATCTAAAAGACAGAGGTACAATAAAGAAGTGGCCAGCAAGGAGGCCTACATTTTAATTGGAAAAGATGAGGGAGGTAATATATGATGGAGAGGGCCAGTGGGGAGAGGAAGAGTGTAGTGATTTTGTTTACAATAATTTCGGATCACACGAGTGTCCAGTTTATCGAGACTGATGTATATTAGCTGATGGTCAATAGGTTAATTATAACAAAGTTAACACCAAAACTAATCAGTTTGTTAATTGCATTTTTATCTATCCCTATTACATGAATGAAATATGATTTATTACTCCATGTAACAGCCAGTTTTTTCGATCGTATGCCCAATTTAATCTCTAATATCTATCTCGTTAATATCAATATCTCTCTCTATTGGCAATGGATCTAATTCCTCCCGTATATCAACTTTGATATCGTTATCAACGTAAAGCAGATTCACTCATACTTGGCTGAATCCACGTCAATATAAATCAATATTTTATAACTTTTGAAATCGAGAGAATCCTCATTCTATGACTTCGTAGCAGCGTAAGTTTACTTTGCAGTATATACAGTACAATGAAACCTAGGAAATTCATAGAAGACAGGACTTGCAAAGTAGTAAAGTTTAAAGGCGATAGTAATCTTAAATATTGATATCGTTATTGTATGACGTGAATTATTTAAAACCCTAACCATGATATTCAACCCATTTGACATCCCGCATATATCAACCAAACTGACCGGTCCCATAAGGTTGATATTAGAGGGGTCGACGGTATTGCCTTTTGACAATTACAATCCTTCTGTTAGTTCAAAGCAATGAGATGAACTCAAACACTGAAATAATATGTAAATTACGTGAGTTGCACGTAGATGAGACTCGCAATCGCGGAAAACATTTACGGAGGGTTTACGTTATTCACATGCTAAAGGTAAAAACGCCATATGATTGTGACATCAATGCATTCACTACTATTGATAATTGCTGACCTTTGCAGACAAAAATCTGAGCAACTTGATAAGTTAAGCAGGTCTCGAAAAAAAATTAAATTTTTTTCCACACTCTCCCAAACACACAGTCAGTCTCGATAAGTCGGCCAACAGTAGCCCGCCTCAAATGACCGACTTATCTAAAATCACGTGATCGAATATAGACCATTATTACATTAATATTATTAATACAAAATAATCTTGCAGACTAGAGAATCGACTTGTTTGTTGCTTTAATCGTATGACTTTAATCGTATGATCTAATGCATGTTTAGCTCTTTGATTGTATGATTCTAATGGCATGACATATTTATCGTATGATTATAGTGCTTTTGTCATAACATTGCCAATCATAAGTATTTGTGTAGCCAATTGTATTGGACAATTGAATGTATACTAATACGTCTTACAAATTATCACGTGAAACCGACTTATACTCAATACTTATAATAACTACATCTTAATCTCTCACCATCGCCTAGCTTGCAATCGATTAGCTACTGTATTTCTAACGAGAGACACAATCTACATTAGGAAATAAGATCTTTTACGTCAGTACTCACAGAAAGTGGCTTGGGATATCGGATGAATCTTTGGGTATTTCTAAAAACGTGACTTATTGCGGATGTATCAACCAAAATTTAAGGTGCTATCAAAAACGGAACTGTCGATCAATTAGAAACCGATTTGTGGTTGATCACAAAGCCTCAATTCCAACGGAAACTGACTGCATTTATTCCGAATATGCAATCCTTGAGAAAATGCTCAGCAATGCTACAGATTAAGCTTGTGCGGATCTAATGGTGAAACAGCGATCTTATCTTTCTCATAAGCATATGCTAAACTACTCCTCCAGCATTTACTAGCTCACCAGTCTCGAATGGCGTACGTTCTTGGCGTTTATTATCTCCAAAATTTTGACTGCCCGTCTTCTTAGAAGATCATGATGACAAATTGACTTGAATAATCGCACTACGAACTCTTTGTCGAGGTTTGCTTTTGTTTAGCGTAACACACCTAAGGATAAAGGGCGGTTAAAAATTTTACCCCCATAAAATAGAGTTGAGGCTGTAACCATTTGTTCTGCTACCCGTCGTCGAATGTTGATAGATACGGACAAGAACCAATATGCACGCATTATCTTGGTCTAAACAGTGAAAGAAGCAGCTACGCCGATAATCTAAGATCAGCATTATCAGATACAACATCGAGGGCAATAACGTATTCGCACTGTATGGGTACTTTTATATTCAATTATGAATGAATGTGTCTACAAACATATCGACATCATATAACTTAGCATAAACAGTCGTTATCGGAAAGCATGCCCCATTATCGTATTATCAACGTAGAACTTCAAAGGTCGTGTGTGCGTTTATCGATCCATATAATATATGATATTAGAACACAAATCATTGACACATATTTCCACTACTTCGTATCATTAACACATATTTCCATTATTTCGTATTATTTGGGCTCTCATTACACTTACACTTGTGATTATCCGCTATCCGTGGCTGAGTCTGATTTAAGCATTACTATTATGGAAATTAACAATGAGAACCATATACGACCGTGATAGGAAGCAATCGACCAATCGGATGATCTAACCGAGTAAAAAAAAAAAAAGGGTACTTGGACAAAAACCTGGCAAACAATAGTAATAATAACAATCAACAATAAATGGCGGGGCTAGAATAACAATTTCTAATCAAATTGATATTGATTCACCGCCGAGGGCGTTTTTGAGAGTACCGATGATAATTGATGGTATCGTTGATCAAATCAAGTTTTTTCTTCTCCCTTAGATCTGCAGGTGGAAAAAAAAAGTTACATATTCGGCAATGCTTGAGCAACATTGGATCTGGTATACAACGACCAATACCCGCTAAGCATACGCTGGACAATACGCCGGGTATGTGCAAGATCTCAGACTTAAAATAAATGCGTAATTGTGCAGAAATCCAGGATACTTTAATTAGTACTAATTAGTATGTGTGCTCACTGTATTGAAGTGCCGAGTACAATGCAATGCTATTGTTTAATTAATATTGTTAATAAAGTAATTTAGCCATTGAATAACGAAAGTACATACGGCCTGTCTAATTTGGGAAATATGATTATCGAAACAAGGTTGATTATCATTCTTAGTGCGTTTGGCAACAGTAAAGCGCGTTATATGATAGCTCACTATCTTTTGTTTTTACAAAATTGGAATAGCCCCGCACAAACAAAAAATTTTTTCTTACATTTATTGTATATGCCGCATATAATATGTCTTGAAAAAGGAATTACCCCTGAGAATTGGGCTTAAACCTGATAATGTAAAAAAAAAAGTCATCCCCAAATATTGTCAAAGACCGGATAAACCATCAATACTAACATTAACATCCATAAGGCCGATAACCATAACCATTCCATTATCTTGTATCACATTATACCCTTTATATATAGAGTCAGAAATTTGATTGTAAATACTGTAACAGACAAAGACAAAGACAAACGATCAAATAGTTACAATTTATTTCTACGCCCTCGTCTAAAAATGGCACACCAACTCCATCACCGCAAACTTCCACCTCGCAAGGCTGTCTTTCAACCACAAACAATGTGCGGCATACTTGCCTCTACACGGATTATGCAGCCCGAACACGCGCGTATACGAAGTTTAAACCTTTCGTTATCTCGGGTACACCACAGATAAACACACCTTTGGCGCCTTTTATCAAGTGGTAACGACAACTCGGTGAACCAAATTCACTAGCGCTTGGAAGAACACTTTTAAAAGACTAACGTTATGGCCAAAATATGGACAGCAATAGCAGTTAAAAATTTTTGAAATTTAATATGGCAAACGGTGGAAAAATTTTTTTTACAAATATGAAAAATGCAGTGGTGGCAAAACTATGCCCGCACATTACGAAAAAAATTCTTAGTAGCCCCAAGAATTCTTGTCTAAATAAAGAGGCGGTAGTCAAGATAATCTATCCCTTGAATAAGATATTAATTAAAGGTATGCAAAATAGTTATAGACAAAAACATAGTTAAAATATTATTTGCATTGCAATGAGTTTTGCATTGCAAATGAATGTATTTTCTTAATGGTTAGTAATATAGGCTCTTCATACAAAATATGTACTTAATTATTATGATTTACTTCCTTATCTAAGAGAATAGGCAGTTTAAACGGACTTTGGGTCCATTTGGACCAACAATAACATAAAATTTTGATCTATTTTAGTCTGATAATAAGTGCAGTTCTTTAATGTCATTTGGATTAACAATAACATATATTTTAATGACGCTAATAAACACAGTTCTTTGAATCCATTGGACCAACAATAACATAAATTTGGGTATACTTTGAGTTGACAATAAATACAGATTTTGAACTAGTATTAATTTAGTATAATTAGAACCTTGAAAATATAACGAATAATAAATAAGTAAAAGAAAAGACTTTTAACTTTGTCTTAAGCATTAAATTATTAGAAACATTCTAGTCCTGTCATGATATTTTTGTTGGTTGCATATTCCAATTATAATTAATGGTCGTATTTGTTCAAATAATCTACTATCACTATATGACTTCAAATTACAGCAAAACTGTGAAATTGATCTAACAATGTGTTCTGTTCATTGACTGTTCCCATACAAGCGGTCCATTTGTGAAGCAGACTTTTACCT